CACTTTATCACTTTTTGATAAAACTTTAAAAATGATCATGATGAATTTTGTATAAGGAAACTTAGAACAAAATTTTCCATTGTCGTACCAATTCATAATCATTTTTTAAATTTTATTTTCAAAATAAACAAAATCAGAATTGTTAGAATAGTTTTAAATATTTCTTGTTAGAACATTTTTTTAAAACATGATCTGTCAAAATTAATGACAAATTTTGAAGGTTAGAGATAGCTATATTTAACTTTAAAAATTTCTGCGCAATTCACTCACAAAGTTTTACCACACATACATTTCATACATAACATATGCTTCTTGAAAATTTCTCTTCTTCGAAAGTTATAAACGACAGAAGTCGCAAATCTATAATTTTTATCAATTTTTCCATATATTCCGTTTTAGACTCATAGTTTAAAGAAGTAAAAAAAAAATTAGTTTGTAAGTTAATTTGGATAAAGGATATTTATTTTGCATATTGAATGTAGGAATTGAAAAAATATATTTTTTTATAAACATTATATTTTTGTTTTACAAAATAAAAGAAAATTGAGTTTCAGAAAGTTAAAATAATTTTGTGGATAGTTCACATCTAGTATGTCAACGAAAAGTTAAGTTTAACTAACTTTTTATTTCTTTCTGATTCTAAAAATAAGAAAAAAATAAAGATTAAATTAAATTGAGATATGGTTGGTCTATATTGCTAAAATATGGACATTATGAATATTATTACATTCTATTTGTCCGATAATCATGCATGGAAACATAAATTTAATTTTTAGATATATCTTTTTATGAAAATGATGAAATATATATAAGCCTGCAGAAAGAATTATGTTATTTGACACGTATAATTAAGAGTTATGAAATAATTCCGCATCAATGTCCTACGCGTTTATTTATTAATTACATTTTCATGATCTTGTAGCGGAAACTTTGTTGAGCCATCTTTGTTAATTCAGGTTTTGTAAAGAATTATAATCCCCCTCCTCTGGCTCTCTCTCTCTCTCTCTCTCTCTCTCTCACCCTCTCACCTTCTCTTTCACTCAGATATGAAATAATAATCTATAATATTGGCGCCTCGCCTCGTCTGGCGCCCCAGAGTTCCATATATGAACTTATTTCTTTAACGTGAAACTGGTTTGTTTTGTTTAACATAATATATTCCCAATAGTTGTGCCTTCGTTAAGTAGTTTGTAGTTTGGTTCTATAAATTAAATAAAAAATAAATCAAAGATTTATTCTTGAAGATCTTTTTCTTTTATTATTAATATTTATATTTCAATAATTGATGATTTCTCTACGATAATTGTTTTTAAAGAAAAATATTTGTGAAACGGATCTCGTGCATAATTGAAAAAATACTTTTATACAGGTAATATTTATATATACTTGTGTAACAAATAGAAGCAATTTTGATATAAAATTATAAACCATTTGGGCGCCGTGACTAGATCTTATTGGTTCTGATTTCATTTGTTTACGTGCAATAATAATGAGCCGAAGAATTGATAAAAAATCGTCACAAATGCTCTTTTACAAATGTCAAGTCTGCTGTTGTTATTACGATCTGTTACAATATCGTCGTATTAATTCATTGTCACTTAACTTTTATCCATTCTAGTCTTGTTATATAATATAATATGAAAGTTTAAAGTTTAAACGCATGCACCATATCGATAGATAGTCTTTGTGAGTACACTGTTATTAAAAAAAAATGCCGTTTATGTTTCTGATGTCATTACATGCAAAACTGTGTGTGTTCGACGACAATAAGCCTCGTGATAATAATACCTTATGTTAACATATGATAAGAGACATCATTACGGAATTTACCAAAATTATTGCAATTTGGACTGCACATATGGAAGCGAGTGGAATTTTTAATATTACTTATATTACTAATATTACTAATATTACTTATAATACTAGAAAAAGTTGAAATCGCCGAAATCGATCAGAGATGTTCTCTTACATCTTTGCAAGTGCTATTTACATACATCAATTAAAAGGAAAGGAAAAATCTGAATTGATGTGCCGTGTAAGAAATCTTATTTAAAATTACATTTTAAAAGCAAGTTATATTATCATGTGATAATAAGTGATACGTTTAAATAAGTGATATGAATTTGGATGTACTACATCGCTTTGTCTTGCCAATCTCTATTCAAAGTAACGAAATTAATGAATCGATTTTTTTTAAATAAAAAAAAAAGCATATATTGAAAATCTTAAGCTGAGTTTCACCTTTCGATAAATTTCAATTTACTCGCTTTCGCTCTCGTTCTCTATTTCGCATTCCACTCTTTCTTTTTTTGTTCGTTAAATAAATTACCACATAATTTATGCGAAGGTGAAACCAATTTTAAATATTTTAGATTCAAATTAAATTATAATGATAAAAAAAGCCTATTTTATAAATTTATAAATTTTCGTCTACATTCTTTTACAAATTTAATGTCCCTTGTTGTATCTGACGTTCACATAATTATAAAACTGCATTTTTCTTTATAATTTATTTATCATTTAATATTTTTATCGAAAAAATACATCATATTTCGGTCGTTTTTTGAATAGTTCTGTTAAATAATGTCAATAAAACAGAATTTCATTGACGAGTCATCAAAAGTATCGGATTAAGTAATTATCGCAAATAATTGATCGCGAATATTATTGATAACAATAATTATTAAAAATCAATATACCGTAAAAACGATGCAATTTCCACTTGTTAAACCGAGGAAACTCGGTTTAACAAAAAAAAAAAAATACTAAGTAGGTCGCTCGCATAACTTACAAATTAAATGAAGACAATTAAATGTGCAATTCTATTACGTTTTTGTCATTCGAAAAAAATATTTTGTTTGCCGAAATTAATAATGCGAGCGGAAAGTTCAGGATCTGATTTATGATCCTGCGGAACGCATTCGATGTAACTTGTTTAAATATCGATGAAGTTGTTTACATTATCGTGTGTACATCTAGATTCCGACCTTTTGCTTTCTTTGGTTCCGATATTTCGATACAGAAACACGAACCGTCTCGTATTGTATCATTTGGAAAAGCCATTAACTAAACGCAAGTAGCGTCCGCTTTCAATCAAAGAAGAATTTAACAAGTGTGAAGAAATATTTGCGGAAAATAAACTGGTATTGCTTCCCTGAAGCAAGAAATTATTTTCCCTATCGTATGAGAGGCTGGATGTTACCACTCATTCAATGATGATCGGAAATTAATGCTGACGATTCATTAAGTGATTGCGCAATAAATTCGCGAGATCGTAAAAAGTATAGTTAAATGATGGCATATTAAAGAATTACACATAGAAACAAAAAAAGCCTTTATAATATTAGGTGTACAATTTTGCTTCCGCCGTTTTTTTTCCGAAATTCGAGGCTTTATTGTAAAAAACTGGTTATACATTTATGATTCAAAGTATTGTCCATCGCTGGCCACTACTTTCTCCCATCTTTCGGGTAGCGTACGAATCCCGCATCGAAAAAACTGGTCCCCTTTTGAGGCTATCCACGAATCGATCCAATTTTTTACTTCTTCATAAGACCGGAAGTGCTGGTCAGCCAGGCCATGTGCCATTGATCGAAACAAGTGATAGTCAGAGGGAGCAACGTTTGGAGAATACGGCGGGTGGGGTAGGACTTCCCATTTCAACGTTTCCAAGTATGTCTTGACCACTTTCTCAACATGGGGTCGAGCATTGTCATGTTGCAAAATCACTTTATCGTGCCTCTCATTGTATTGCGGCCGTTTGTCTTTCAATGCTCGGCTCAAACGCATCAATTGCGTTCGATACCGATCGCCTGTGATTATTTCAGTCGATTTTAACAGTTCATAATACACTACGCCGAGCTGGTCCCACCAAATACAGAGCATGACCTTGGAGCCGTGAATATTCGGTTTGGCCGTCGACGTGGAAGCATGGCCGGGAACTCCCCATGATTTTCTGCGCTTGGGATTATCGTAATGAATCCATTTTTCGTCCCCAGTCACAATGCGATGCAGAAATTCCTTCCGTCTTTGCCTTTCAAGCAGCTGGTCACAAGCAAACAAACACCGTTCAACATCTCTCGGCTTCAATTCGTACGGCACCCAATTTCCTTGCTTCTGAATCATTCCCATGGCTTTGAGGCGTTTTGAAATGGCTTGTTGAGTCACTCCCAATGATCGTGCTAATTCTTCTTGATTTTGACACGAGTCTTGCTCAAGTAATGCCTCCAATTCTGGATCTTCGAAAACCTTCTCTCTTCCCCCATTATGCCGGTCTTCGACGTTAAAATCACCGTTCTTGAAGCGTTGAAACCATTCACGACACGTTCTTTCACTAATAGCGGCCTCACCATATGTATTTGAGAACATTCGATGAGCCTCAGTCGCAGATTTCTTCATATTGAAGCAAAAAATTAAAATCTCCCGCAAATGACGAGAATTTGGCTCGTAAACTGACATTTTCAATCGAGAATAACTTTATGATGTAGACACAAATCGACTAATATTTCTATGGGGTTATGTTGCCCAAGTTTATTGTATGAAGTCTATGATCTATTTCGACCACCACTTACCGCTAAAGCCATCTATAGGAAAACGGCGGAAGCAAAGTTGTACATCTAATACAATCCGAGTGATAGTTATCGATTGAGCGTATATAGAACATGATCAGTTCAGCCATTGTTGAGAACCATCTCTCCAAACCTGCCGCAATTTGTCGGCTCCCAATAAAGTAAAAAAGCATGGCAGTGTCCGCGTCATACTTTGTTTGTTTTTGCGCAAAGACATTATCGTGTCTTCAGATTACCATCGATGAAATATGCTTTCACGACATAGATCGTCGAAAATTTTTACAAATTTTTTTTAACACATGACAGACCCATAAAGTAAGAAGAAAATTTCTCATCTTCTTCGACTCATAGTTTTTATATAGAAATTATCAAATTTACAGAAACTAAAAAAGAAATATAGTAATAAACCTTTCGAAAATAGAAATTTCAAGCTTTAGAATCTTTTTTTTATTTAAATTTTGTCTATTCTTAGTAAAATTATTAAATTATAAAATTATTACAAAATTATATACAATTTTGAACTAAAAAAAACCGAACGAACCCAATGTATAAAAACCTAATAGTTTCGATCTTTTAAATATTTATATAAAACGCTTGATTAATATAAAAAAATGTAAAGAACGTTTGGAAATTAAAATTCAATGCTTTCTCAATATCTCAAAAGTATAAAAAAACATTGTACATAATATGCAGTTATAGAATTCAAAGGCATTAATATTATGAGAAATAGGTTCGGTTCGCGATAAATGTTTGATGTCTACGCCTGGACGATCGCTTTGCCGATGTTCTTGCCGCGCAGCATACCGATAAACGCTTCAAACATGTTCTCGAAACCTTTAGTCACGGTCTCACGATAACGAAGCTTGCCCTCGCGTAGCCATTGCAGATTCTGCATAATGCTTTCATTCCATCGATTCATCCAGTGTGTAACGAAGAAACCCTCCATTCTCAATTCATGTTTCGATAAAATGGGTTGCAGGATCGTACACTTTGGCAAAGATGAATTGTCCGCGTTATAGCTTGAGATGCTACCGCACACAGTTACTCGGCCAAATGGCTTCATCTGGTATATGACTGCGCTAGAGATATTCCCGCCAACCTATAAAATTAATATGACAACCAATGACAACCTTTCCGCAGCAAAATAATTGCGCAGCCAAATGACTGCGACATTGTCTTCAAAGTCCATAATTGTTGTCCCATTTTTCCTGCTACAACTTTGTCACAATATCATAATGATGTTATGGTAGTGACTGGTCATAGACAAAAATGCTGCGATTTAAGCTGAGACGTTATCGACGTTTTTAAAGCTTCATATGTACTTATATATATATTTAATATATTTAAATGCATTTTTTAATATATTTAAATGCATATATTTAATAAGTATCTAGAAATTAGTTGTCAGTAATTCTATAATGTTAACAGAATTTGATATAACATAAAGAAAAGTTACAGCAACACTGATCATTGTTGATGTTTTTGAAAAAAAAAATTCCATCAAAAGTTATTGAAAGAGATAAAAGATGTCATTTGAAAACAATGATCTATACGTGTATTGAATTATTAAAAAAAAAATATATTATGACTGCATTCAGCAGAGAAAGCAGCTTTGCAACTGTTGCAAAATTCTTCAATACGATTGGCGCTTGCTTTAGATTTCTTATAGATCTAAATGTACAAACCAATGATATTGAAGAATTTTACAACAATTGTAAAGCTGCTTTCTCTGATGAACGCAGCCAATATCTTATAGAATTCATATCAAAATGAATGAGCGTTTTAATTATTTACATTTTAATTATTTATGTATTATAAAAAAAATCGGAAAATCTTAAAAAAACATCCCGTTATTAATTTGAATAATTTTATATATAATTGTAAACTAATTATAGTGAAATATACAGATATACAAGTAATAGAAATTAATCATTGATAGCTATAATATTAACAGAATTTGATGTAATAAAAAGTTTAAAAATTACTGTACATGAAAGTCATCTTTGATCATATTGAAAAATTTGCGTTTAATTAATTATATAAAAGGCACAATTATTAATACATACATTGTCAAAGTAACAATCCACGTCTTGCGGAGCAACTTCGCGTAATCTGGCTGCGACTGATGTGGTCTTGTAATTAATGGCGGAATCGAAACCCATTTCCTCAGTAAGCCACTTGCACTTCTCGTCGGAGCCGCATATACCGATAACATTTAAGCCCAAAATTTTAGCGATCTGGCCCACGTGTGAGCCGACCGCACCTGCGGCTCCACTGATGACGATTGTTTCGCCAGACTTCGGTTTGCATATTTCCAGCAAACCGAAATATGCTGTGTTACTGTTAACAAGAAAGAAAAAAGAAAAAGAAAGAAGGAGGGAAAGACAGAGAGAGAGAGAGAGAGAGAGAGAGAGAGAGAGAGAGAGAGAGAGAGAGAGAGAGAGAGAGA